AACCTCACAGAAAAGCAGCAATGAGGAAGTGGCTCTGAGCAAGAGGGCTGCAGGCACAGGGCTGAGCAGCAGGTACTGTGGGCGCAGCGTCCCTAACTTGTCTGTAGGAAGGTCAGACCCAGGTTTACTCCATGAAACAAGTTCTCCGGGGCCTCCCTGGACATCACACTCACCTGCAGAAGCCTCCAGACTGGATCATCAGAGAGGATGTCTGGGTTACTTCGTGTTAGAGAAGCACAGCTGAAGGTGGGGGTGGAGACAGTGGCCTCTCTGAGGAGCTGCTGAGAGCCATAGGCTCCTCCCCACAAAAATCCACGTCTATGCGAAATCTGCACTTAGCTTCAGGGGTTTCTGACACTGTAGGTTAAGATGTCCTCATGTCTAGTTTTGATAGCATGGTTGCTAAAAATTGACTAGAAGCGAGATGCAGGAGCCCCTTTGGAGTGTTTTTATTCCACTTCCTGAAACAGATGCAAGAAGACTGCCCGTGCAGTGTGTATTGGCAGGAGCTTTAGAGCTCCGGAGTAGACAACCCAGGATTCAGGTCTCAGCTCCATGCTTCCTGCAGAGGCCCCTGGGCCAGCTGCTTAGCTTCTCGGACCCTCCGTTGCTTCATCTTAAGAGATGCAGTTGGAATTATAGGAGCATCAAAGTGCCCATCACCCTCAGTGTTCTATGCATGCTAATACTTGCCTTCTGTGGTTGATTGACCCAGCTGGCCTTAGGGTGGCAGGGGTGAGGATGGAATAGGAAGACACAGGTCAGATGCACCTGGCAGGCTAAAGCTACTGTATTAAAGGGAAGCCAAGCTTATGAGGGTGAACAAATGTGCCAGGAGATGCTGTGGCAAGTGAAATGCTCTGAGCACACGGGAGCTGAGTTGTTGGGCTGATAAGTGTAAGGCAGACACCCCCTCCCCACCGATCCAGCCGGCAGTGACATCAGCCGGGGAAGATGGGTGATGGTTCAAGTTGTCTGGGCTTCAGTTTCCTCATCTATAAAATAGCCCCAAAGATCTCAAGGGTTCTCTCCAGCTCTGCAGTTCCTCGTCTCACACTGCACACAAACTGAAGCTCCGCACATGATGTGCAGTTTTCTAGGGATCATATTTTAGAGACACTTTGGGGCCACTATTGTTTGACCTTCCCCTGCTTTATTTCTGTCATCTGGTACCTTCCCCTGGGTTGCCGAGACCTAGACCTCAAAACAGGGCCTGGGCATGAGTTCCTTTCTCATCTCTCCCTGGGGCGTTTGGGGGTGGCTTGTCTTACACTAGGACGAGGAAAAGGTCACAGACTGAGTGGGAGAGATGCTCTTGATGTGTGACTGGTTGGGGAGGTCAAAAGCAGCATCAAGGAGGGGAATGGGTCCTGCTGAGCTTCTTGAGTTAGGTCCTGGGTATCATCTCCCCGGAGAAGGAAGGATTGGGTTGGAGGGAGGGGTCCTGTGCCTCCTCTCATCTCCTGCTTTCTCTCCTGCAGGTGTGGGCAAGAGCAGTTTACTCTTACGTTTTGCGGACAACACTTTCTCAGGTGAGTGTTCCCCCGGGGTGCTGCTGTGGTGTTTTGGTTTTGAAATCCCTTTCCCTGGCGCCAGAACATACCTGCCTCTGCCTAATGTCAGAAACATTGTCATTCCAGTTTCCGTATAGGGAAGGAGAAGCGGAGGGAGGCACAGGTTAGAAGTCTCTGTGGTCGGTCTTAATCTGTCTTGTTCAAGAAAATCCTTTACAGGCCCATCCTTTGCCATGCAGGGTCTTTTTGTGCCCCAACATGTAGAAAAGAAAAAGTTAAAAAAATTTTACAAGTTAGTACATGCCTGGGTGAAATTTCAAATACGAAGACTCAATAAAGTGGAAAATGAAAGCTGTCCCTTCACCTGCCCCTGCCGGTGCTCTGGCAGTCACTGTTTAGCACGGTGTGTACCTTTCCAACTTTCCTTCTCAACTCTACGTGCAGCGGGTCAGCAACTTGCCTATCCCTCAGCCTGTCAAGGATCACCCTTCCACGGCTGTACGTAGCCCTCTGGCTCTTTGGAATGCCTGTGAAGTTTCCAGGTCCATGCATGGATGCACAGCGTTCATTAACAGTGCTCTTGATAGCTGCATGCTTCCTGGTTGCAGCTAGTCTCAGTGATGCTGCATTTCTTGGGATACATCGTATGTTCATTCCTATATAGAAGTGGAATGGAATGACTAGGTCGGGGGTATGTGCGTTTAAATTTTTCACAGATACTATCAACTCAGCTCTCAAAGAAGCTGTACTGAGTGAAGTGATACTCCCCCGCCAGGGGGTTTAAAGTGTCCTGGTCAACGCTGATCAGAGCTGAGTCTTGGTAGTCTTCGTTTTTGCTAAGCCAATTGGCAGAAAGTGCAGTCTCCTTCAAGTTTGTATTTCCCTGGTCACTGGTGAAGTGGGACATGTTTTTGTCGAGTATATGAGGTTCATTGCAGAGGCTTCACGGTGGCTTGGCCTCTCTGATCAAGGATGATATGTGACTTCTTATGGTGAATTCCCTGTGATGTGATTGAGGGGTGAGCTACAATTAGGAAGTGGTTCCATGGCTAACGCCTCTCGGTAGAGAAGTGGGTTTCTCCCGACAGTAACCCTGCACTGTTGGTGTGATGTGGAAAGAGTTGTCTTCTCTGTGTGACCATGAATATGACTAAGTCTCAACTCATCTGTAAAGTGGCACTAATCATCGTCCTTCCCACAAAGAGTTATTGTGAGGGTCATTTGCAATATTGCAAGTCATAGTGCCTGGGACTCGGTAACCTCTCAGTACATACGAGCGGTTTGTTGTTGCTAGTACCTTCTGTTCAGGAGTAGTAACTAATGGGCAGCTTCTCATTGTGCTGAAAAAAATGTCCCTCTGACTTCCCATCCTATCAGCTTTCAACTCCTGGAGGACTCTCTTTTGTGGTCTCTCTCCTCTATCCATTTCCCCTACCAGCAGCTTAGTTGGTTCTAGCCTGAAGCATTACAGCAGCTCCTACCCATCCCCCACCAGACTTTTGAATTCATCTTGCTGCTACACACTTCTGGCGGGGGCTTTCTGTTTAAAAACCTCAGCTGCCCTCTCTTAGGCGAGCAGAGTTTATAGCAAGGTTTCTCCACTTCAGCACGGTTGACACTCTGGATCCTGTGATTATGTATTGTGGGGGCCGTTCTGTGAAGGACTTGGAGCAAAATCCCTGGGTTCCACTCACTAGACGCCAGTAGCTCCCCTGCCTGGTTGTGACAACCAAAAATGTCTCTGGGCACTGCCCAGTGTCCTCTGTGGGGCCACAGTCATCCCTGGTTGAAAACCACTGGTCTTCATAATCTATTTTCAGCTCACCTTTCCAACTTCCTTTCTCAGACTGTTCATTCTTTTGTTTCTCGAGCTCTCTTGCTCACTCACCCATTCAGCCACCAGCTGTTTGTTGAGTGCCCACCGCAGTAAGTGCCGGGCCACACTCCTTGCTGTCATCCAGGCCTCGCAGAGTGCCAGCGGTTGGCTTGTTTGCTGAATGTTTTCTCTCTGTGCTTTGCCTCTGCTCTTTTCCTCTGGGTGGGCTCTCTTTCCCCCAGCTAATCTCACTCTTTGAAATCTTACCTATTCTTTCAAGCTAGGCCCGAATGTGACTTCCTCCCCAAAGCCTTCCCTGATCTCCACCCCACCGTGAACTTTGGTCTTTCCTCTACACTCTCGACCCTTTGTAGACTCAGTCGTGTGTGTCCTGTCTGCAGCTCTGTTATACTGTAAGCTCCAAATGGAGTGAGAACTTCTCTCCTTAGCATTCGGGCCTTTGTAAGCTTGGACAGGACTGTTACACTGGCCAAAAATTCTCTTCAACTCCATCTTTCGCACAGATGCCCTTGGAGAGCTATTTACAATGCAGCTCATGCTCTGATTAAAACCTTTCAATGCCTCCCTGTCACACACAAGAGAAAGTCCAAGCTTTTGAAATGGCACAGAGGCCCTGAGATCAGGTCTTGGCACCTCTTACCTGCCTGAGTGTGTGCTTGACCTCACATGACCCCTCCATTTGCTATTTTTTGCTACTATCTTTTCTGCCTGGAGCAAATCGCACTTGTTGTATGTTAAGAAGTTAATTTTGTGGGTCATTTTAAATGTTTGGAATAGAATAGAAAAGAAAAACCTGAAGTGCGTGATAGGTCTCCCACCATTTTTAGGCCACAGCTGACACGTCTGCGGCCCAGCCGCTCTAAATCAAGGAGCCTATCCTTCCCCCAAGTCACATTTCCTGTTTTATTTATTTTGTGGTACTCGTCACACTTGAAATTGTCTTCTTCATCACTTTGTTTCATCATATCCTGTCTGGCGCTCACCTCGACTGTGGGCTCCATTGCACTCCGTCACAGCAGGGACTGTATCTTCCTCATTCAGGGCTATGTTCCTGGGGCCTCTGACATGCTGGGCCCGTACAGTGAGTGGAGCCTGGGGTCGGCTGTGCAGTTGAGGATGAGGTCTGACCGGGGCATCTGTGGGCCTTGCTAATGTGCGTGTGTGTGCAGGCAGTTACATCACCACGATCGGAGTGGATTTCAAGATCCGGACTGTGGAGATCAATGGAGAGAAAGTGAAGCTGCAGATCTGGGACACGGCTGGGCAGGAGCGCTTCCGCACCATCACCTCCACGTGAGTCGGGCTGGCCCGCCCCGGGTCTGACCTCTCGCCACTGACATGTAGACACACTTGAGTGACTAGGCCCAGGCTGTGGTAGAAATGTCACTGGAGAGGGCCCCTGAGGCTTTTGGGAAGTGAGTTCCTTGCTGGCCACTGTAGGTTCTGTTAGGATGAGCCTCTTCTTCCTGGGGACTAGGTGTGACTGCTACCCCTGTGTGAGCAGTGGCTGAGCACCCTGGCTCTGGGGCCTGGCAGAACAGGACGTGTCCTTCAGCTTACCCTGTGGCCTTTGGTGCTTTCGTCTGTAAAATGGGGTAACTGTGATACTGGCTTTGCCTGGTGGTCAGACGCTTAGTAACAGTTACTGTTGTTGGGTGTCAGTTGTGACAGCTGGGGTCAGCTGTGCAGCCTCCCATTACCCGCCCTGACTTCTTGGAGCTGGCTTCTCTCTGTTGGGAGGCCTGGAAGGGGCCCTGGTACGTAGGCAGCCATTGAGAGGCCCCTGCTTGGACTCCCTAAAGTCGGTTGCTGGGAACCCAGCTCACTCAGTGGGCTGCCCTCCTGTGCTGCCGCAGCCCTACTGTGGCTCTTAGCTGCAAACAGGAGAAAGCAGCTAGAGCTCCAGACAGCAGGAGTCCCATGGAGGGTTCCAGCAAAGAGCAAGGCTTCTAAGGCAAACGGTTTGGAATTTACATTGCTGTTCTCCTGTGTGACCTTGGGCAAGCTGCCTAAACTCTCAGTGTTTCAGTTTCTCAGAGGGTTTATCTTTAGACTTTGCTTTAATGCTGATCCTGTGTGCTGGGTGCCCTGTGCTTGGGCTTCATGCAGATGATCTCATTGAGCCCTCTGCAGTGGGTACTGTTATTGTCCCCGTTTTACAGATGAGGGAGCTTCTGAGAGGTGTCCTGCTCCCAGGGAGTGGCAGAGCCTGAGCCGCATACGGTGTCGTGTGCAGAGTTAGGAGCCAGTGTCTGGCCTGTGGTAGTTGCCTCTTCAGTAGGCCTCTGCTTTGCCTCCCCTGCAGTCCCTGTATGAGGGGGGCTCCTGGGCAGGTGCGTGAGAAGGGTCGTCAGCCGGAGATCCCTTCCCTCCCTTCCACACGGAGGTGGGGTGGACCCCAGGCTGGCTGTAGGGTCTTCTGAGGGATGGGAAGTGCGAAGAGCCTCTACAGTGGTGGCTGGTAGTATGGGGGACACCAGGGGGAGCTGGCCAGGCAGCGAGGGGGGTGGGCAGGTGGGCAGGCGGCCCTGGTCAAGGGATTCCGAGGGGCTGGATCTTGGGCAGCTTCTGTGGGTTTCTGTCACTGGGCTAGCCCTGTGGTGAGCACGTGTGCTGTGGTCCATGACTCCCTGAGACCCCAAGAGTCCCCAGTTATGGGCGCTGCCCCATGCAGCTTTCTCCAGCTACTTGCTGTTGAGCTGCCTGAGCCCCTTGGTGTCTCAGCAACTGCCAGTGAGACCCTAAGGAGGGCAGCTGGGGTCAGGATCCTTGGGGTAGTATGGACGTCTTTGGGTGGCCCGTGTCCAGCCCAAACAAAACCAAGACCTCTTGGTTAGACCAGGGCACCAACCTCAGATGTACTTACTCCGAGACGGGACTATTGCTAGGGACATTACTTGCTTCATTTCATTTAATCTCGATAAAAAGGGTCCTGTGATTATCTCCATTTTATGGATGAGAACATGAGGCCGAGAGTGTGAAGTGACCTAGCTTGGTTGGTCAGTTAGCAGTTGAATCGAGGTCCATCTGATGCCAGAGCTCTTACCTTTAACCAGTCCCTGCTCTCTGCTGGCCTCCCACCCGCAAGGGCCGCGGGCTCAGGCAGAGGGTATTATGTACTCTAGTGCCTCCTGTGGGTTAAAATCAGCTGGGGAATTCAGGAAGCCGAGAATATGGGATCTGGGCATGAGAAATGCTGCTTTTAGCAGAGGAGCCACAGCCCTGCCCTGGCTGCCATGAGGTCAGCTCCTTTCAGGGCGGGTCCAAAAGTGGGTGAACAGCCTCCTTCATTCTGTTGGGGAGACTGGAGTTACTCAGCTGCCTGAGGGCAATGCATGTTTGTTTCAGGGTGCTTGAGAAGGGGGGGTGGGTGACGCTACACACTGGTGGCCTGTGGGCACCAGCTCAGCCCCTGCTGGCCATCCCATCTGGGAAGGCTGAAGGTAGCTCCATCTTGGGGTCCCCAAATGTCCCCCTCCTGAGGCAGGAGGCACTACAGGCCACGCTGAGGAGCCACAGAGAGACTCAACACCCGGCGATGGTAGCTGGTGAAGAAGGAAGGGGTCTTGGAAGAGACCAGCAGAGTTTGTTCTTTTCAGAGATTGGGGCAGTCAGGGTACAATAGTGTGGCCTTTTCTGATTTAGGAAATTAAAAGAGAAACTAAAATTACATCCTATTAACCTGATGAGAAAGAGCCCTATCGTCACTCTCACAGTTTTCTTGTCTCTTGGGAGCTGGGGTTTGCTGACCATGATAGGTGTGGCTGGGGGCGAGGTTTTGGGGAGGAGTAAGTAGTGAGGTGTTGGATGGTGAGAGGGAGAGGTGACAAGGAAGGGGAGCCCCTTCGATGCCTTGCCCTAGACACTAGGAGTCAGACCCAGGTGCCGTGACTTTGGCTGTGTGACTGTATCAGGTTACTCAGCCTCACATCCTCACGGATAAAATAGCGACCCTTCTGTGTGTCACAGGTTGTTGCAAAGATTAATTATGTAGTGAATATAATGTGCCTGGCACAGAGCTAAGTCGTGGGGAGTGGAAGGGGTCGCCGATGATGGTGGTAATAGGAAGAAGCCCAGAGGCACTCGTTCCCTCTCGTGAGAGCTCTGAGTCCCCGACCTCGTTCCTGGACTGGTTCTCTCCTTGTGTGTCTCCCCTCAACCCCGATAAAGGCCCCTTGTTTGGGCCCCAGAAAAGGCAGAGGTTCTCAGGGAGCAGTGGGGGCTTTGTGCTGGGGCCATGGCTGTAGGCATCTTGGCATCTTCAATAGACTTTAGCAAAGGAGAGTTTGGAAACACATTTTACTACTCACACTTATTTGCTGGCAGGGGACAATCGTCTCTCCCCTGGTTCCTGGCCTGCACTCTTGTGCCTGCTCAGGTGGGCATCCACCAAGCTGAACTGGTGATAACCTGGTGCTCTCAGCAGCAGCTGCCAGAGGATGGGGCTGGGGCCAGACCGAGAGCTGGTTCTGAGGGCCCAGTGCCTAGATTGCTCGATTGTTAGGGCTCCCCAAGGCAGGGGGCGCCGCATCCTCGGGAGGGCACAGCTGTGGGCAGAATGAAGCCTGTGAGGTCTCAGTGTACAGCATCTGAAGGGTGGAGCCAGGGCGTGGGGGAGACTGGTCAGGTTTGATACCCGAGCGCGGCAGGGCCTCCTCTTGCTCACAGCCTTGATAGCCAGCTCAGGGAAGCGGCCTTCACTGTTGTCTTGCCATGTTGTCCCTTGGTTTTCTTCCACCTGTGTCAGGGGCCCCAGATTGTCACTGAAGGAATATTAATGATAATAAAGAGCCACCATTCTGAGTGTTTACTGTTCGCCAGCCCTTGTGAAAATGTATGTCATCTTTGTTATTCCGCACAACCGTCCAAAAGTACTGGTATCTCCGTTTTAGAGTTGAGGAAACTGAGGCACAATGAGGCGCATGCAGTGACCTTCCCAGGGTCCCACAGTCTTTTCAGAGATGGAGCTAGGGTTGGCCTTTGTCCTGTAGTTGGGCCTAGAATGCAGATACTTGGCCAGAGGGCTGATGGGCAGGCAGATGGGGACACAGCAGCACCCACCAGCCATGTTGGCTCCATCTTTGCCAAGTCTGGCACTTCAGAGCCGCAGCTCTCCTGCAGGCTCTGGGGCCAAGCACTCACTCAGGTCCTGCTAAAACCTCAGGAGCTTGGAGGTGCTTGGGGCTGGGCCAGGGGGCAGCCAGCATGTTGGGGGGAAGCAACCTGTCAGCTAATGACCACCACCTCTTGTGGGCAGTGGTTCCTGCCTCGTACTGAGAAGGCCCTGGTGAGTGATCATCTCTGCAGCGTTGGCTTGTTCCATAGTGTCAGGCGGGGGTGTCACCTGGCTGTTGGGTCAGGGAAGCTCTCCAGGGAAGTGTGAGGCCCTGTCCTCTTCTTCCTGGGGTTGATGTCGTCTTGAACCATGTGAGTGAAGAGGGACGCAGTATCTGGAGAGGAATGTTTATACTCTCCAGCCTTCCAGGCCTTTTAGCTGACTTCACGCCACGGGGTCTGCACATTTGGGTGCTGGCATATGTGGGACGCCTTCTTCTCAACTGTGCCTGCATGTCCACACTTTTTCCATGCTCTCCCTGCCACTGGCATGGATGAGCCCAGGGTGGCAGGATGAGAGGTGCCCACCTGCACCCGGGGCCGGGGGCGGTGCAGACCTTGATAGGGCTTCACAGATGGTACATCTTGGAATGGCATTTTACTGAGATTTGAGGAGAGAAAAAAATTTTTGAATGTTAAAACAAGGAGAGTGATAATATGTCAAATGCAAAACTTGCCTGAATTTTAAAAATAAAACAAGAACTTCAAAGACGTTTCAAGCTCGTGGCAGACTCTGAACAACCTGGTTGGCCTCCTTAGGGCTGAGCACTCGCTACTCACTGGTGTCTTGGTGACAAGCATTGAGAAGCAGTACTAATGAGCATCCCTTCCTGCTGGCCAGGGTGCGGTTCCAGAAAGTTCAGGCGAGGCCAAGTGGAGAGGAGACTCTGGGTGTCTTGCTGGAGAGCGTTTGCCGCTCACCGGGTCCCCGGCCGCTGTCTGGATGTGGGCAGGCAGGTCCCAGGGAGGGGCTTACTCCTCTGTTGGCTGAAGCTCTGATGTAGACCCCGGCCCTACAGGTATTACCGGGGGACCCATGGGGTCATCGTGGTTTATGACGTGACCAGTGCCGAATCCTTTGTCAACGTCAAGCGGTGGCTTCATGAAATCAACCAGAACTGTGATGATGTGTGCCGAATATTAGGTGAGACTGGACCCAATGGGGTGGCGACAGTGGGTTGGCGGGTGCTGGGGTGCTCCTGCAGCACCGGGCTGACTCTGCTTTGCCTTGAAGTGGGGAATAAGAATGATGACCCCGAGCGGAAGGTGGTGGAGACAGAAGATGCCTACAAATTTGCTGCACAGATGGGCATCCAGTTGTTTGAGACCAGTGCCAAGGAGAATGTCAACGTGGAAGAGGTGAGGCCTGGGCTGGAGCAAGGACAGGGAGGGAGTGGGGCCCGGCTCTGCTCCTCCAGCTCTGCTCCTCTCTGCATTGCTAGCCTGCCCAGGGCACCCAGGTGGCCGACAGAAAATGTTATAGTAACTGCCATTTGTCGAGTGGCTGCTGTGTGCCAGGCATTGTGCTAGGCCCTTTGAAGCTGTTAGTGCCTCTCTCAGCAGTTCTCTGCGGTAAATGATTCTGTTTCAAATGGGAAACTGAGGTTCCAACTTGAGAAATATCACCCAGCTCGTAATAGGCTGAGTCAGACTGAGGCCTGTCCACACCACAGCCATGCGGTTTCCACTCAGTCCCCTGCCCCACTGCCCGCTCCGCTGCTGTCACTTTATGCTGTCTGGCTTTCCC